AGAAAGAGTGCAACAGCCAGAGTGCTCCCTGAGGCTTAGTCTCACATACATACTCTGGGAATGTTATTAGGATGGGCTATTCATGTGTGAAGTGGTTAGATTCTGAAAAGTGGGTTCTTGTTTTGGTTGAGGGTTGGGTGTGGACTGTTCATTTGTTTTTATTTTGTTTACAACCATGAGTGAGCTGACTGGATTTGCTGGATTTGACTAACAATGACTGTGGACTAGAATCAGGACCTGGTGTGTGGGCCTGTGTATTTAACAGTCAGTTGGGCCCTCAGGCCTGTGGCCTCAGGCCTGGTGTTAACTGTGTTTGGAATGAACATTCTGCTAAGTGGTACAGCACTAGTCTGTCAATTTAGGACTGGTCTGTCATTCTGCTGTACTGAGGTAACCTGGGGTTGCTGTGATGCTGAATGCTGTACCACTGGTGTGTCAAATGCCATAACGGTTACCCATAGTGTACAGTGTTTGGTGGAGCTCCCAGATTAAGATAAGCTTGGAAGCAGGAGTGGCAACCACTTCCTAAACAACATGCATCTGGAAACTCTATGAACTTGGAGAATAAAGTTCATGCTATGAGTTGTGCTCGACTTGAGGGCACTTAGTAACAACAACAATACCTTGGAGAGGGAAATCATACTTGGAAAAGTACAGAACTGGTGAAAGGGAAGAAGACCCTTAACCAGATGGATTGACACAGTAACTGCTACAATGGGCTCAGGAGTATTAGAGATAATGAGGATGGCACATAGGGTAGGGTTCAGACCTGTTGTTCACAGAACTGTTATGAGTCTTACTCGACTCAATGGCACCTTACAACAACACACTAGGACTGTCCATTTGTGACTATGCCAATCTGTATAATTTGTTTTAGATTTACTCAGATGCAATATTTCATAAACTCTTGATTTTTTTCAGTAATGTATAATATTCAATTGTATGAATATACCGGTTTCTTTAGGTATTCATCTGCTGACAAATTAATTACAATAGCAACTCTTTGCTAATGTAAGTAGTGCTGCAATAAATATGGGTATGAATATGTCAATTTGTGTTGCAGTTCTTATCTCTTTGGGATATATCTAGTTATAGGATTGCTAGAGAGCTCTGGTGGCCTAGTAATAAGGAGCTATACTACCATCCCAAAGGCACACAGTTCCAATCTACCAGCTACTCTGCGCAGAAAGATGGGCAATCTCCTCTCATGTGATTTGCTGACTCTGAACATCGTCTGGAGGGTTAGCTGTGAGTTGGTTTACACTCGATGGTACATAACAACAGCATCATACCCACCTAGGAAATGGCAGGAATAAAATAAAAACCCTTTGAGTTGACCCCAAAGGCTAAACTCTTGACTGCTATGGTACACTACCAAATCAGCCAGTAATTCAACTTCTATTTTAAAAATTTAAAAGCACGTAGGATGAGAAAAGGATTTATAGCTAATATATATAATAATATATACAATAATATATGCAAAGGCTTTCTAAAAGTATAGACAAAACTATAGATCAGGGAGAAGAGGGGACAGAAAGTGTGCTGGGGGGAATTTTATTTTTTCTAGATTATGCTCTTTTGCACTGTCCAAAATCCTAAATATGTTACCAATGTAAAAACATAATACGCAAATATTTCTAAGGAGAGTTATTGAATTGGAAGGCATTCATAGACGCCACAGGGAGCTCTGGTGGTATAGTCTGTAGGGAGTTGTGCTGGATTCCAAAGATGGTTCAAGTGCTGGATTCCAAAGATGGTTCAAATCTACCAGGAACTCCTTGGAGAAAAGACAATCTCCTCATGGTGTAATTTATAGGCTCAGAAACTTAGAAGACATCAGTTATGAGTATGTTTCCCCACAAAGGTAGTGCGAGTTTGTGGTTTTGAGTTACAAGCTCCTTCATTTTTTTCTAGGGAAACTAAGGCAAAGATTTGTTCGAGGCCACCCAAATTGGAAGAAAGAGCCTGAGGTGCACAGTCAGGGCTCCCAACCATCAAGACTCAGTGGACTTTACGGCCTTTTCTGCTTCTCCTGTAGCTGACTCTGCTGTCACAACTGGAGATTTTCAAAACATTCAAATTACACAGAATTGGGGTAAAAATTATGATTTGGAATTCAAGTGTTGACACTTGAAAAATACCAACTCCCTTTCACTCCAAGTGCTTTACCATGTTACTCAGGCTTGCTCAGCGTGTCCCTGGAAAGAACATTCCACTTAAACCTGGAGATGCAGGGTTCTCTGCTCTTTCTGGGAGCTGACACCACAATTTACATTAAACAAATGTTTTGAAAATTAGCTGTTCACGGTTCCAATTTCAGCTTCCCCCAGGGCTTAATGTTAGCCAAATACTGGTACAGTAAGCAGACAATGTGTTTTATTGTGTGGAAGAAAAACAGACCACCATAACAGACTTCCTGCTTTTGTAATCAAGGGAAAAGTTGGGTATTCGAGTGATTATTGGCATATGGTTATTAGAAACACTGTGTTCCAAATATAGCTACTAGGAGCTATACATACACCCCCACCTATATTTCAAGTCCGAAAAGAATTCCTAGTCCAATTCCAATTTCTAGTAAATTGGAAAGTTCATAAAAGACTGAGGCAAAAACTACTAGAACACTAAAAAGTAACAAGGAAACTAGATTTCGCCTGGATTTGCTGGCAGACACTAGAGTCTGAGCAATGTGCTCAAAATCAACAAGTAGCCTACCTACATGAAAGAGCGTGAACGCTCAGCCACAGCCAGAGTGAAAGCTTAGCCAAGGAATCCGTCTGCCCCTGCTGGTTCCTGGAGCTGAGTGCAGAGGCAAGCTCGGTGGACAATCAGATCTCTGGGGTCCATTTCTAAGAGATAATAGATTTTCCAATTTCTTTTTAACAATGAAAAAGGGTTGCAAAGGCACTTTGTCCTCTGCCTTTTCTGCTGAGCCTCCTCCCTACAACTGCAAATGTTGAAAGGGGAAAATAAACAGTTCTATTCTGCTAATTTTATAGCTGGCAGGAGTGAATAAGGGAGTATTCTATCAGGCCTCTTCAAGATCGCATGAGTGAGGGGGAGCACAAGCATTTAGACATAACTCACAGGATGTGCTTCAATATAGGGTTTCTCCTCAAAGATATAGGAGTGATTCTGTACTGAGGAGGGTGGGTAACTGTTGCTATTTGCCATCGAGTCAGAACCAAGGTATAGCTCTCTATGGTGGTTTTTAAGAGGCAGTAAAGAAGGAGACTACCCATCTTTCTTCTGCAGAGCAAATGGATTACCTTTGGATTAGAAGTTCATCTCCTACTCACTAGGCCACTAGAAGTAGGTAGAGTAGGAAGGAAGAACTTAAACTTTATTGTTTTAAGAGAAATATTTGTTTGTACCCAGAAGGTTTTGCAAAGAAATAAAAACTCTTTAAATTCAACTAAGAAAAAGGCTTATACATAGCATAGGTGGGAGAAAGGGTCAGGGAGAAAAGAAGGTGATTCCCTAACAAGTAGGTGAAAGCCTGTCTGCCACAACTGAGCCTGACCTTTGGAAGGCACTAACAGGATGGAGTAAAATTGGTTAACCTGGTTGCTGTTCCTTATGTTTGTCCTGGAGAGAGGATGTGGGCTCCATGTTAGGAAGACTCCCTTGACCCTGGATGATTAGATCTGGAACTTCCAAGGACTTACTGTGGCACCTTCTCATAAATTATGGAGGTCAACTTCTGCAGAAGTAACTTCTGAGGCTAGTTGGCTAGAAGCCAGAAGAAAGACACCTTGAGGGGCTTCTTAGGGCAGCACTGAAAAGTCTGACTTGACTGCTGTGACAACAGCTGATGGGCCAGGACTCAGCATGAGGGGAACAAAGAAAGCATATTCCAGTAGCCGTGTAATCTCCCATCAATGCTCAGACAGATGAACACAACTAGCCACCTATAAGGTGGAGGTGATGTCTCTGAATTATGGTTTTGGCAGAAAGTATTCAGTGTTCCAAAGGAACAAGCTGTCTTGAAGGAAGTATAACTAGAGAGTTCCTTAGAGGTAAGGATGGGAACATTTCTCACATATTTTGGGCATGTGGTCAGGAGAGACCAAGTCTTGAAAAAAGACAAAAGACATCATGCTTGGAAAAGTAGGGGGTTAGGGAAAGGGAAGATGACACTCAACTAGACAGACAGACACAGTGACTACAACAATGGGCTTGAGTACGGTGCAGAGTGTCAAGTACAGCAGGGCAAAGCTCAGATCTATTATTTAAGGAGCCACTAAGAATTGTAGTCAGCCTGACAGCACTTAATGACAATAACCCACAAGCCTCGACTTCCTGAAGATAGGTTAGTGCTCCTACAAGATATAAGAGTCATGGTACAAAAAGTACCATGCTTTCTCCAGCCAAGAAGACATAAGGGTCACTTCTGACAGGGTTTCATCAACCACAGAAATTACTAACACCTAGAACCTAGTCTTTGGTCTAAAGAGGGTCCAGAAGGAAGTGCTTCAAGAATATATCTGTTTTCTTCCACAATAGAGGCAAATCATTCTAAACAGCAGACTGTTTGGAACAATCCTGCTCAAACATGCCCAGAGAAGCCATGCCGTCATGGCAACACGATGACAGTTCTGCAGCTGAGCATCAGCACCAGTGGGTAGCAAATCCCTCTGGGCAGGGCTCAGAGGCTGTTCCCTAGCACAAGGAAGCCCCTTCACAACAAACATGCATCTCCCTGGAAGGCCAAGCATTGGATCTTTCCAGCCTGGGGCTACCTTCCCAGCACCGCTTCTACAAACTAATGACCCATCTAGCCTCCTTGCCTTCACGAATTCAGTCCTCCAGCTGTATCCAAACTCTCGGAGTCTCTGCTGACCCTGGCCACCAGAGCTGGAATGACCCTGGAATAGAGCTGGAATAAAGTTGTCCACTTTCAGTGTTGAAGATGAGCCTTCAGTGAGAAGGTGGGCCCTTCTTTAACTCATCTATCTTTATCTCCCTACTTTACTCCATGTAACATATGCCAAATCACGTACCTTGGATTTTCGGGCCCCTTTCTTGCCTCCTGCTTTCTTCGACACAGGTTTCTTCTGGGATGGAGATTTGGCCTTTTTGGCTGGAGGTGGTGTGATGATGGCTTCCAATTTTCCTTTGGATCCTCGCTTCTTGGCTAGCAATTCAGGGTGGATGTTTGGTAACACTCCCCCACTGGCTATGGTGACTCCTTTTAGTAGCTTGCAGAAAAACAAAGGAACAAATGGTGAGCCAGCCCACCTTGCCCCTCCGTGACCTTCAAGAAGTCAGCCCTGGACATTCACACTCTCACTTTTGATGAGGACAGTTCCTTCCAGACAGGACACAGGGATCAAACCTTTAGAATTATCCCTCTGATGCAGTTTAAATAATAACATTTTTTTCAAGAAGAGCCACATAACTTATTACACCCCATCTCCTCACACATACATATATACCCAGTGAAACCTTCAAGAAAAACTGCTAAAGTTTTAGAAACAAGGAAGCTGCTAACAGTCCAAAATGAAGCTTACATCTTTGGTAGCTGCCAGCAAAATGCCAACCTCTCCATGGACAAAGAGAAAGCTGTAATAGTCTCATACCTGATTCAGCTCTTCGTCATTGGCCACTGCCAGCAGGATATGTCTAGGTGTGACCCGTCCCTTCTTATTGTCTCTTGCTGCATTGCCAGCTAACTCCAGGATCTCCGCTGTGAAAAGAAAAGAACATGGTGTTATTAAAGCATCACAGGATACATACATCGCCCTGGTCTCCTCTGGTCATGGGACAGTTCACAAGGCTATTGCTCCTAAGAGAGAAGCTGCAGCTGGGTTTTCCTAGCAGTACCTTGGGCTGAATCAGAGAGGTAATAATAGCAAAACTGAGGAGGACCTAGTAAGCTGGCTGGCTCAACTCCTTTATTTTAGAGATGAAGAAACTGATGCTTAGAAAGAAAAAGGGTCTAGCAGCAAGTGGTAGAACTGAGACTTCAATAGAAATTTGTATTTTAGAGAAAAGTGCAGTTTGCAGTCTGCATTCCAGATGCCAAAGGGCCAATCCTGTAAAGTTCTAGGCAAGACAGGGACAGCTTTGTGGCTCTGAAAATGTACTGTCCATCCTAAGCCATGAGACACAGGCTTACAGGGCTTCAAGAGGTAGGCAGCATAAAGTTGGTGTTTGAGAAATCTTTGTTTCCTGAATCAGTGTTGGACATTTACACATTTGGATTCAAAATGAGGGATGGACTTGAGAGTCTGATCCATTCCCACTGCTGTATGGCCAATTCTGATGCACTGTGACTGTAAAATACACAGAACTTCATCTTAAAGATTGTAAGGCTGTAAGCTTTGTAAGATTATTTCCCACAGAGTGACTGGTGGGTTCAAACCGTGGACCTTTAAGTCAACAAACAAATGCTTTAACTAATATGCCAGCAGGGCTCCTTATGTCTAATGTATAGATAGTGATCAATTGGAGTTATGCATTTGTCATTTGGGTCAGAGACTCAGCACAAAAAGACAGATCCTGCACTGCGAAATTTAGAAATGCCTTTTGGCAGGAGATAATTTTTCTTCTTGGCAATAGTTTTCATATTATGGCAATCTCATCCCTGTCTCAATTTCTTGATAAATTGGCAGAATGTTCTAGAATTTGATTTACCCTTCTCTACTTCTGCAATTAGGAAACTCTGGTGGCCTTGTAGTAAAAAGCTACACTGCAACCCCAAAGGTACATGGTTCAAATCTACCAGCTGTTCCATGGGAGAAGGATGAGTAACCTCCTCCCATGAGATTAACTACCTCTGAAAACCCAGAAGGTCAGCTATGGGTTAGTTCTGACTCAAAGGCACACACAACAACAATAACAAAACTTCTGCAACTAGCCCATGCCAGGCCCTTTCCTTCCTGTGATGTCCCTCCCAGCCCATCGTTCAGGGCCCAACTCAATTCTCACCTCTTTCTGGTAATATCGCTGTTTGATGCCGTCAAGTCAAGTGACTCACAGTGACCCTATGACCAACAGACCAGAACCCTGTCCTATCCTGTGCCATCCTCATCATCTCTGACACACTTGAGCCATTGCTGCAGTCACCATGTCAATTAAACTCATTGAGGATCTGTCTTCCTCTCTTTCACTGACCCTCCACTTTCCCCAAGCAGACATCTCTTTCCAAGGAACAGCCGCTCTCAACAATATGCTCAAAGTATGTGAGATGGAACTTTGCCATCCTTGCCTCCAAGAAGCACTCTGGCTGTACTTTTTCCAAGATATATCTGTTTGTTTGTTTGTTTCGGTAGTCTACAGGATATTCAGTACTCTTCTCCAACACTACAACTCAAAGGCATCAATTCTTCTTCTGTCATCCTTATTCACTGTCCAGCATAGCAAGCGATTGAAAAGGCTATAGCCTAAATCAGGTGTACCTAATCTTCAACCTGATATCACTGCTCATTGATCATTTAAATGATCATTGAAAACTATATGAATAATAGAGGAATACAGTATTCCTGGTACTACAGAATTATTAATATTATAAATAATGCTGTAAATACTAGATTTTCCCAACAATAAAATCATTATAAAAAACTGATAAAGAAATCTGCTGATATTGTCATGAGTTACCCAGTCAAAGATGACTCCTAGCAACCCTATGAATAGATCTAAACCTTGTCTTATCATGTGGCAACCTCACGATCTCCGACATGCTTGAGCTCATCATTACAGTCACTGTGTCAACCCAGCCTGTTGAGGAATTCCTCTCTTTCTCTAACCCTCCACCTTTCCCAGGATATCTTTTTCCAAAGGCTGGAATAAAAAAAGTTTGGCTATGTAAAAATCATAGATTTGAAAATTACAATATTTTATGGTATAATCTGAAATTAGTAGCTCAATTCAATGCAAAAATTGCTCTATATATACAACTGGAAAAGTCACCATGTGTGGCTACTCATACAAATTCTCATAGTGGCTTGTGCGGAAACTTGTCACACCTAAAATAGCAGGTTTCTCTTCCAAAAGCCAAATGATGCTGCTGTCAAGTTGATTTCCACTCACAGCAAACTCATGTAATGAAGTGCAACTGCCTCACAAGGTTTTCTAAACTAATCTTTAGCTTTGTGGCCTAGTGGATAAGAAGTTGTGCTGCCAAACTAAAGGCAGGCAATTCCAATTCACAAGCTGCTGAGAGAGAAAGGCAGACAATCTCTTCCTGCATGATTTATAGTCACTGAAAACCTGCTGGAGGGTCAGCTACTTCTGATGTGACAGCACATAACAACAATCTTTATTCCTCAGAGCTGCTGGGCAGGTTCCACTACCAGCCATACAGTAAACAGTTGAACACTTAATAATATTGCCCCCAGAGCTCCAAAGCAGTAATTAATTTACTCGATAATCACTACCTGATGACATGTAGTCTTGTGTTTGGCACAGAGGCACACCTAAGGCACCATAAGACCCTGTCTTCCCTATTCATGTTTCTAGACCAGCAAGGAAACCACTGCAGGGCTACTACATCTGCCAGTGCATAAAGATGGCACAAGACTGTCCCTTGAATTTACACACAAAGAGATTATTTAAGTGAGGACCAAGCAGGAAAGTAGTTAAAAAAATCATCTCACCCCAGTAAGAAGAGCAAAATTTAACAGAACAGCAAACAAATGCTGGTGAGGTTGTGGAGAAACTGGAACCCTAATTCGCTGTTGATGGAAGTGTAAAATGGTGCAACCATTATGGAACGCACTATGGAACTTTCTCAAAAAGTTGCAAATTTGACCTAGCAATTCCACTACTGGGAATATACCCTAAAGAGACCATAACAGCCACCCAAGCAGATATATGAACACCCATGTTTATCGCAGCTTTGTTCACAATAGCAAGGAGTTGGAAACAACCCAAGTCCCATCAACAAATGAATGGATAGAGAAGGTCTGGTATATTCACAAAATGAAATATTATGCTGCATTTAAAAATAAGGAACTCGTGCAATATTATTCAAAATGGGTGACCCTGAAGGACATTATGCTGAGTGAAATATCTCAGTCACAAAAGGACAAATACTGTATAGTGCCACTGTGGTAAAAAGAGATTGACATTGGGGCTGGGGAGAGACTGAGAAAGATGGGATATATTATGTATACTGCATTGAAACAGATGAGGAAGAGAACTATTTAAAAGGAATATATGATTAGGTATTATTGCCATGACAGGAGTCCAGAAAGAAGGCTGCATAGTGGAGTGGACTTGGGGGAAGGGATTGTATAACAAAGAAAGAATTTTTCTTTTACTTTACAAAGAGAAGAGTGAACTGGGGGGAGGGGCGGGAAGAGAGAAAAGTGGAACAATGAATGAATGGAAATCCAAAGTCTCTGTAAATTTTCATTAAAATTAATAATAACTAAAGAAAAGAAAAAATATTTAAAAGGAATAAGGATGGGTGCTCATGATAGCACCCACAGAGTTGTTCCTCTAACAGGTCCAGTATAGTTCCTTTTACCAGTTGTGGGAAGACAGCCCACCGACCAGTCAGTAGTCAGTGAAGCTTCCCTGAGAATGATCATAGCAGTGTGGCCCACGGCCCTGCTGGTGTGGATCCTGCTTGATGAAGGAGGACAAGAGTGCTGGGATGGTAGCAGACTCTGGGATACTTGCTTTACCAGCTTATAGTCATGAACAGGCAGGGCATCCACAGAGCTGTTGTCCTATCCTTGGCATGAGAAAGAGGAAGAACAGGACCTGAGCCTGGGCCATGGATTAAAAAAGTAGTAGGAGCGCCTCCTCTGTTACCCTAGAAGCCTGAACTCATGCAGCAGGAGGGCTCCAGAGAGGCATCTGGCACCATGGAGCTGCACATACTTTTCTGGCTTTCTCATCTCCACCAAGCCTTCTCTTCAACCAGCCTCGTTGTACTTCCTTTCTGAGACCAGGAGTGCTAAGATATCAGTATTTGCAAAGGCAGAATATACAGTAGGATTTCCATTATTTTGCTCATAGTAAGCTGGACAATTCTTTACCTGATCATTATAGACAGAGAGAAAACATGTCAGGGGTAACTTCTTCTTTTAAGTGCTAAGCCCACCTCTTCGATTAGAAAACGGTTGACAGTAACAGTTTTCTAATGACCACTGAGGAAATCGAGGTGGCCTACTGGCTTGAATTTCTGCCCCAAGTATTAGTGGAAGTTTCTCTCTGACAGAAGGTACAGTGGCTTCTCTCTTGGTGGTGAGAGAAGCATGGGAGAGGATGTCTGTTCATATTCTGCCACAATATCCTAACTTCTGTTACACAGGGAAATGGTGACCTTGATGGGGGAGGTCCCCAGGTTGCTGAGTCTGTTTATGCCCTTGAATTGAATGAAGAGGAGTAGGTAAAACAGGGAAATAAAGCAGAAAGTAAGAAGCGAGTAAGCAACCATAACTGAGACACCTGAAGATTAATTCTCCCACAAATTTAAGGAATCCCCCAACTTCCAAAAGCTTTTCTTACTTTGTAAGAAACTTCAAGCATAAACTTCAACAGCATCAGTTTATCCACTTGGGAAATTGATTGCTATTCTGCTTGTTGTTATACACCGTGAAGTTAGAACCAAGTCACAGCTGACCCACCAGCAGGTTTTCAGAGGCAGTAAATGGCATAGAAAGAGACTGCCCATCTTTCTCCCACGGAGCAGCTAGCAGGTTTGAATGGTATACATTCGGGTTGGCAGCACAA